GTTTTTCATTTAAGTCAATATTAAATACTCGATATAGACCATATTTTTTATTTTTTTCAACACGCATATCATTATCATTATCTTTATTTTCAGTTTCTGTGGCTTTTTCTGGTGATTCACCACCATGTGTTACTTTAACAGTTGGATAAATATCATCATCATCATCATTATCATGAATTACTTTTGCACCAGTTTTCGATTTTTTTCTTTAAATATCGATTTTCTTCATCAGTTTTTACTTGACGATATAATTGATTAGATAGTGTCACTTGTGAACTAGTAGCATTTGTTCCTTGTGATAATGATAATTCAAGTCTGTAGCTTATTGATGTCGAGATATTGCACTTTTACCGTAGTTTTTAAATGAATGTCGTAGTTAGAGCCCGTCGGATTAGTTTCGGATCCGAAAACTTTGAATTCGATGGGTTCTAGCCATGATGCCTCACAGGAATATCATGAAAACTAATTTTCGAATTTTGACTTGGAACTCTCCATACAGACAGACCTTAACGAGGTTAGTTTCTTGTGAATGTTTCGGATCTTGCTATTGCCCCTGTCTTAAGATAAAGGTATGATAAAAACTTGTCCATTATATCTGATGACAAATTCGACATTCTTATGTCAACATAGACGATAATCAAAAGATTTGAAACGTTCATAATAAATCACTAACACTAAAAACTTATTTGTGTCAATTTTGGTTTTTTTTAAAATCTTTTAAATAGAACGGATTCATTTGTTCACTTTGTTTTTTTTTTATTCTCGTTGTTTTTCTAATTCTTCAGCAGTTGGTTCAATATATTTTTTCGATTTTTGATAATTTAATGTATCGCCAGAGTATGAATTAGAATTAGAATTTTCTCCATTATCATCATAAAATAAACCTTTATTATCATAATATGAACTTGTTGTTATCGATTCATCTTCGCTGTCTAATTGAGGATCATTTATCCAACCATCCAAATCCAAAAACTTTGAACTTTAGCAACAATTGGATTAAAAACACCATCAAATAATACTGATAATTCATTAACATTAAATTCAGATTTTTCAATTAATTATAATGTTGTTTTAAGAATATGTAAAATAACACTTGGCCTAAATAAATAGTTTCTTTTTTTTAAATATTTGATATTTCGAGCTATTGGTAAAAGACATCCGGATATTTATTATGATTATTTTTCTAACATTTTTATGAACTTTTCAAGTTCAATTAGTTTTGATCAACATTTTCAAAAAAACAACTTCTCAGAATTTTATGACGTATCATCTAGGAATAAATTAAGTATATTAGTTGCCTGATACGGAAAAACAAACTATAGTATATTTGAGCAAATAGATTCTTTCGAAAAATAACTTTTTAATTTTTGGATAGCTGATGTTGATTAATTGTGATTATCTAGCTTCTTTCACCGGAAAGATTTCTGACAAATAGATACTATTTATAGATTGTATTTGGAACTAAACAATCAATGTAAAACTTTGAAAAATGTATAAGTTTTAACTTGTATTATTTATTTGAACCTTCATCAATTCGAAAAACGAGTGATCATAGTAGAAGTCAATTAGGACAGGTCTGTATCGGAGGTTATATTTGGGACGATTGGTGCTTACAAGGGTTTGGATTCATATACTAGTGCATCCAACTTAAGTTTGATGGTGACATGCTCAATTCGATAATAAATTCAAATTTAAATAAAAGTGTCGAAAAAAAATTACATATTCACCAGTCATTATTTTTTAATTTTAATGGAGAAGAAGGATCTTCAGTAAATCCAAACGGCCTATAGTGTATAGAGTAAACATATAACGCTAAATAACTATATAACATCTAATGTATATCATTAAAACTTCAATTTGAAACATACGTTTTATTTATATTATGTTATCTATTTGGTAATAGCTATTGCAAGACGGCTACTCATATGCAATTAGAATTCAAAGTGTAATTAAATGCAGATTCATAGTAGATTTATTGCTAGCTACAACCTAGATTCAAATATCATAAATCGATTTTATCACCAGGCTGTCCATTGTGTGGGGAGATAGGCGCGTGAATATTAGGTGAAAAAACGAAAATCGAGTTTTCAATGATTCAGATAGTGATTGATATATTTGGAAATGCGCTCTTTCTGATTGTGTAAAAACTGTTGCGTAACGCAGAAAATCACCTGATCCAACACTAGCCTAAAAATATTGCTAAATTACGAAAAATTGATTTTTATTCAAGATGTAACCAACTAATTGGCAAAAAGCAATACATATTCTAAAATTTGTGCATTCTCTAGTGAAACAAAAATTTTATTTTGAGTCGTTACCTTTGAGAAATAAGATGAACATTTCTACAATGAATTTTCCAAACCACTTCGTTATAGTAAAATGAATGTGCATCTCTTAGTACCAATTTAAGTCTACTCACACTTTACCTACAAGTCCTTCTATATGACCTGCATCAGCCCAGATAGCATAAACATTCCTGGATCGTACAGCAGATTTTCAGCTGAGTTCCTCTTTTGCTGGCTGTAAAGCATTTCTATTCAAAACCAATGACTTATTCGGAATCAACATATGAAACTCCGTTGAATGATGTATGATAAAAAATCTTCTTGAAGATGATCTTCTGAGCAACAGAAATTACATGTTCACCTCCCATGTGAAAAATGCGATTTTTTTTATCTTGATGTCTTTTAAAATAAAAAGAAAAAATGGCCTACTCGTTCTTGTGCTTCAACATCACCACTTGATAAAAATAGAGACATTTTATCCATCGTTAATGAAAGAAGTTGTTGAATTAATGTTTCATCATTATTCGACGATTGAATTAAATATATTATAATTTATAAAATATTTTGATTTTTTAATGACTGTAGAGAAAAGAAAAACAAGAATTCTTTCAATTAATTTTGTTTTTCGTTATTGACTTACGAACAAAATCCACTACAAATCCATGCAGTAGTATATAAAACTTCGGAGACAGTTGTAGAATTTGAATCATGAATAAGAACATAATCATTTTCAGGAAGAATTGCCTGAAAGAATAGAAATAAAAAAATTTTTTCGTGATTTTATCTTTGAAAAATTTCTATCATTTGATTACAAGCAAATGAACGAATAGATTCAACACGAACAACAACATCAAGCATTTGTAAAGATATGAGATTATCATGTTTTGTACTTTCAAGACGAGTTAATTCAACCAATATACTAATATATCTATAGTGATAAATAATGTTTTTTTATTAATAAAAACTAAAGAAATAAATGTAAACCATTCAAAATTAGTTATATGTTGATAATCAGTTTGACTACATATTTCAATTATTTTTGAAAGTAATTCATCTCGATAAAGTGATCGTTCAGATTTATCCATATGAATCATTAATTTATGTGCGATATCTATTAGAGCTTCTCTTGTTACCTGAACAAAAACAAAATTCATAATCAAAATTAAGCTTTTTTCAAATATTGAATGATCAGATTTTTTTTATTAATAGTTTTTCTCCATCGAATTCTCATACTATCTCAAACACAAGCTCAATTAATTAAAGAGATCAGTTATTCATGTTTCACTCTACTTATTTAAAAGAATTTCGACAGAAAAACTAGGTAAAATGGTAAGAAGTTTCTACCATTTTCTAGAGTCTTTTGGCCGGAAATGGCGCATATTTCTTGACCTGAGTAGAAACTACTAGATTGTTTTTATGGACAAACTCTTGTATCAATACACATTTTTTTTGTACTTTAAAAACAGATAAAAAATACAGTAAAATGATTATGAATGAAATCCATAGACTAATAAAAATAAATCATTTTAATCTTTATTTTTAATGACACATCTAAATAATACAAAGAATTTACAAAAAATTAATTCAACTAAAACTACAATAGTCATTGGAAATAAATAAGAGTTTGTAACGATCATTGTTTCATATTAATTCATAACACTTTTTATATAGAAAAGCTGTCCTAAAGCACAATTTCTATGCAATGAAATACGAGCCGATGCTGACCGGAAAATTGTAAGAACTTGGAAGCAGAAATTCGACGGCTAGCTCTGTTCAATTACGATCTATTCTGATCGAAACTAGTAAAGTCTAGCTATCGATTTTCTATTATTTTCCCAAGTTTTCCAACCGAAAATCTAGAGATCCAGATACCGCCATCACCAAATAGAGATCTACCTTCTGTTGGCATGGTCTGCCTGTCCCGACCTGTGTGTACTTTCTATCAACGTGACATTACTATGCAAAACATCTATTGGCTTTATACAGTAGATCGTCATTGTCTGGTAGCGACAAAAAATAAAATATTAACATAATAATAAGAATGTTTTCAATGTATTTAATGAAATAATTTTTAGCTTCTGATCTATGAAAACATTCGCAATTTTAAAGATATTTTTTTAAGCAATTATGATAATAGTACGATGTTAAAATATTATAGGAGAAACTAGAACTAGATATCTGACTACAGCACAAGTGAATAAAATCTCCTTATATAAGTATCGATTTATTAATCCACTCATATTCAAAATATAAGAAATTTCTTGTTTGCTTATTTTTTTTTCATTTTTCTACAACGAATAAAATCAATATCGCGACTGAATTTTTTTCTTGCAACACTTATTCACGAAAATTAATATAACCTTTTTCTATTGTTAGAAAAGAGGTTAGTCGAAAAAAAATAAGTATTCACATAGTACGAACACTGCATACCTCGATATCTATATTTCCTCATGAAAAAAAACGAACTTATTAAAAATTTAAAAACAAAATAACAAGCAAGTTCGACAATCTGTTTGAACATCTGTTATTTTTAGTATCTTTTTTCTGTCGAATTGATTATTTCATATTTGAATACTTTCTTGTCATTGATTTTTCAGCTAATAATTCATTTTCTTACCATTCGAGAAAGAAGATCAAGTGCACGTCAACGAATTGATTCATCTTTGTTATCCAGACAAAGCATTATTAAATCACTATGTACTTGAACACTTTTTGACTGTGTACGTAAGATTTTCGACATAGCAAGTAAACCAAGATATTTTACTAAAAAATAATATAAAAATTTCCTTTTTTTTTGTATAATGAATATATTTCATACAATTTCGATCTTAATAAATTAAAAATTTTTTAAAGGTTTATCCTGCTCAATTATGAGTACAAAATGAAAAATATCTACAAAGTTCTTTCAATGTTTAATTCTTACTATTCTAGAAAACATTTTATATAATATAGTGAAGATTGTTTTGTTTATTTTAAATTCTTTTAAAAATGCTAATACGTATATGATAAACAAGTTGATTGTTATAATGATGACATCCATATGTTCCGAACCATGTTCTTGAAATATCTAATCTCCAGCTACATGCTATTGGTGATTTTGATGAATATTGTATTGATTCTGTAGCAATGGCTTGCCGTAGTCGTGCAACACATCTTGATTGTATAAGACAACATCCACTACCAAAAACTATTGATCCAATTATAGTCAAAGCAATAACTATTCCTACTAATATAGGAAATCCATGTCTATCCGAATTAATATTTGTTATTCCACTAACAATAAAAAAGACAATTCCAGCGACTATGATCAAACCATAAGCAATAGCAAGAATTATTAAAATTTTATTTGAAGATATTCGATGATTTATGTTATTAGTTGATTGTCGAAAAATCATCTTGATTAATAATACCATTAAAATGTATTGCATATGTTGAATCAAATTCTGATTAACAACATCCAGCTTATATATTACTAAATAAAAATTTTATTAAATTAAATAAATCTCTATAACTTACTTTGAACTATTGGTATATAAACTGAATTAGGATTTACCGGAACACCAATCATTCTTTTTTTTTGTCTTTTAAATAAACTCAGTCATAAAAAAGAATTTCCTAGATAAAATAAATTTTGAAATATGAAAATTCTACATTCGAGTCATGGACTTGAAAAACCCCTGGTTTTTTAATTAATTCTATTTATCGATTAATATTCATTGTCATGTTTGTTGTAACGATAGTTTTTAGACCCGATCTCGATCTTTTGGTGATCGAATTTGGCACAACAAAAAATTCAATTAAAATAATGACTAAATAAACAAAGGTCATATATGAATTAATCGGTTTCTATAATAAATTATTTATAAGATAAGTATTTGTTCCTAATGAACCTCATTATCAAAAAAAAAAATTAATTTCAGATATTTGAATTTAAATGTAGGCACAAGAATTCACTGCGACTATCCTTGAGGATAGCAACTTTTGAATTTTATAGCAATTTCATCTTGCAATAGGATGACTCTTGAAATTTATCTTTAATACAAACTATAAACTATATTATGACATAGGACATGAGAAACTTACATTAATCTTATACTGATATAAAAGATTATCATAAGGAATAACCCTAATCAACTGCACTGTGGTTGTTCAATATTAAACATCTGAAATTTATTTGATTGATTTCGAGTTTTTCAAGAAAAAAGAACAGATTTTATGAAGAATTTTTACAATAAGATGAATATTTGATAGGTTAACCTTGCCTACGTTTGTCATCAAAAAAGAGACGTCATCAATAAAAATATCATTAAAATGATCATGGTATTGAATTTTACTTTCAACAATATTCGAGTATTTCTCACCATTTCTCGTTAAAATCGATATGAAAATAAAATAGATTGCTATAACTATTGTACAACTTATAGAATTTTTAAACGAACACGATAATGATGCAAAGAATTAATCAAAGAAAAAATATATTACGCCTATTGTAATGAAGAGATAATAATAAATGATTGAAACTAAAAAGTTTCTCATAATATTCACGGTAGAATAGAAGAAAAAGTTGAATAGGACTCAAGCAATAAAAGAAAAGAGTAGAAAGAGTCTGTTCATTTTTATTTTTATTTTTGAAATAGATTCAATGGCAACATACATCATCTTACATTTATTTCATAATGTTGCACATTAAATAAATCGAAAGAAGAACAATAAATTACGATCTGTACTATTACAAAGCGACAATTTTTCTTTATTTTTTGGCATTGAAAATAGATCAATATATATATTTTTTATATAATCGTTTACCAGTAGATAGTTCACTCTTTTCAACTTTTAGAAAAGATCTGACTTGAGAAAAATAGAAGTCTTGCTTTATATTCTTGAGAGATTATTGAATACAATTTAACAAAACTCTCGATGAATTTCATCATAAATTGAAAATAAAATAATCAACTGAATTTCTTTATTTTTATATAAAAATTTTACGAAATAAAAACAAATATATGACGTTAATTGTTTCAAAGAAACAAAAAGAAGATTATTTTAATTAATATCTACTAATTCATATTACTTAATTAAACATAATACAATTAAATATTTATATGATCAAATAAACATATAAAATATGTTTCATTTCTATTCACAAAATACTATGAACATGTTTATTTTCATTACTAAATTCTTATACTTTTCTTAGTTGACATCGAAAAATTAAATCTATTTTACAAATATGAACTCTTTTTCGAATTAGAATTTTACTCAGATTAAATAAAACTTATTTTTAATAATAATTCTTTATATCTGTCAAAAAAGAACACAAGGTTAATAAATAATGCATAAAAATAAAAAAAAACGAAATGCTTTATAAAAGAAAAAAGAATTAATCATTTAATCATGCAACTATAAATGTAGAAAGAAAACGTAAATATTTCATATTTATTGGATGAATAACGACCTGATGAGTAAAATTACGCTCTTATACTTGGTCGTACTACACAACATCAAGAAAAAAACCGTATCGTTTGAATAGAATATCGTGGAGATGCAGCATTTTCTTCTCGTCGAAAAATTTATGTTAATTGAGGAGCAGCTTTATATGAAATATTGATTTATATGTCTAATAATCACTTTAAAAATGTAAAAAAATTCTCATTAATTAAAATACTATTTTTAATTAATGAATTACTGTTTTTGAATAAAAGATTTTCATGAAAACGGTAAAATTTTTTAGTTTTTAAAATCACTGAGATTTACTGAGAATTTATCTTCATAATAAGTTTTGAATGAACAAGACTAATTTCAATAGGAAATAAAACTGATTGAAAAATACCTAAAAATACTCCAAGAACAAGTCATATATATATCTAAATTTCTTTTAAGCTTAGCTACTATTATTTAACGGACAATAAAACTTCCTATTCTTATTATAAATATAATCGAACAAGTCATTAATGGATTCTTATATGAAGAATATGTTGAATTTATTGTTGAAATTCATATTGACTGATTATACTATTTAAATGAATTAAATATATTAAATAAAAATATACCTTACAACATCTAACTGACAAATTAAAAAAAAATAAAAACTTTATCAAATTAAAAAAGAAATATTTCTAAGTTACTCGGAATGATTTATATAGAAATTTTATTGACATATCTATGAATATTAATTATTCGTTGCTTTTTTTTGTTTTTCAAATAAAAGAATTTCAGAGAAGAACGTCAATAAGACAAATTAATTTATTCGACTTATAATTTATGCAAATACAATGGAAGTGAGTGATGAAAAAAAATCATGATTATGTTAATAGTCGTATGGTTTCTCAACTAAATCAATATAATTAGAAACATATTCATGTTCAAGAAAATTCTCAGATCATTATCATCATATCATGTAGATTTCAATTGATCTGAGATTTGACATCCACGTCGAAATTCGTAAACTTTAAGTCATAGGTCTAGCCTACATTAAACAAAGTTAACAAAGACGGAAAGTTAGTACAATGATCAAGAATGTGGTAGTTTGAATATACTTCTTGACTTGTATTGGGTTTCGGACTAGTATGAGTACGCGTAAAATTTCATTTTCTATCTAATGTTACCACTCGACAACGAATAAGAGTCTGTATCCAACACTGCGCAGAAGACGAATAGAAGCTATGAAGATTAAAAAATTGTCTTGAAGTCTACGTACTCATTTCTATAAAATTAAACATCTCGCATTCAAGCCATTTGATTAAATCAGCTATATTATTTTTCAGTTTATATTGATATTGTCTTCTCGATGCATTAAAAAAGCTCGAAGGAAGTAATGTTCAAAAGCAATATAAATGCGTTCTTTTCTATCTGAACAAATATTTATTATTATTCTATCAAAATTTATCTAAAACTGATCGTATATTATCTTCTATGGTTAAATTTCGTCTAAATCTTTTATTTAATCAATGTATAGTCATTGTGTACGTAATATGTTTAGTTTCAAAGAGCTATTTTTATTAAACGTTATTTCATTTGAATGAGTTTTTCCTATTTGATATGTGTGAATATGAGTCACTAAATACAACTTTGAATCTTAAAATAATTTCATTTCTTTTGAAATTAGTATTGCGGACAAAAAAAAATTGTTAAATAAAATAGTAAAATACGAGAATGCTTTGATGGAATAGGCCATGTGTTGAAGAGAAGAACATAAGACGTGATTGCATTTGTAAAACCAAAAGAAAAATATATATTTGTCTGATATAGAAAATAAGACCGAGGTCAAAATATAATGTTTTTTTGTCTTTGATCAACAGCAACGAGTTTATCTTGAGATCAATAAAAATCAAGAAATATAAGAAGAAGCCAACACATGTATGCATATATCTACTCTAGATATCCTGTCGAGACAGAACGTACAAGAAATAGGAAAAGAATATCAATAGAGAAAAGAACATGATGTTTTTTTTTTAGGACGACTGATAATTGCATATTAATTCTACTATTATCTTCGGTATTATGGTATGAAAAAAATTAAAAATAAAAAGTAAATTAGTTTTATTCATATTTTCTTGTTACATTAGCTGTTTTCGATTAAATTGTGTATAATAAAAAAAACTATTTGTCTGAAGAAATGATATACCAAAATAAAACGTGACATTTTAATAAAAATAAGATATAAATATTGAGAAAAAAAAAAGAATATATGTTGAAATTGTATAATATGCTGAAACGAAACATATCAATAACGCAGGAAGAGAATGAAAAAATGAATACATTGTAATAAATATTATTGATTTAGGATAGATCTCTTCTAATGTTTTAGTATTACCATTTATTTGGTTTCTGTTACATGTAAACAAGATACGTCATACTCCTTTTCGTTCTCATGTGTATCAAAGAAATAATATTCTAGTTTATTCTTGACAAGATAAATAGTGTAAGTATCTAAATCTTTTTATTTTAAATATAAAACTGATAACACATGCACGATACTTCGATATGAGGATGTTTTCACAAAGAAGAAATCCTTGAATCTATCGAATGGAATGTTAATACAGTCTTTAGAAGTCTATCTTTTAAAACACTTGTGTGATGATTTTTTATAGAAAAATAGTTTGTATTGATGTTATTTTTCTTAAATAAAGTTTTGTAGCATTTTTGACAGAATACAAGTTCATATACTGAAGACTTCCAATCATTCTGTGCGTGACAAAAGAAAAGGAAGATTTCAAACGGTTTACTGCAACCTACCACAATAATTGTCTAACGCTGAGATACTTTATCTGGTTATGTTGACTATCAAAAGTTGGTACTTACAGAACACAAACATCATTTTTAGAATCACCATAAAGAATAAATCAAATTTTTTTTTCTGACTGAAATCGACTCATACGCGAACAAAAAGAAAAGTTCGAAAAGAATTACTGAGAGCGACAGAGGATTATAATTAATCACAAAAACTATATTTAGCTTCAAAAATGTCATGCAATGCATTTTTTATGCTGATTACGAAAATCATGTTTATCTTTTATAAGAATCAACTTTTGGAAAGTAAAATATGCAGATATAGTATGAATAAATGAAAAATTGATGTAAAAAGTGGTTAAAATTTTTTCGTGTCAGGTAATTATAGTAATGCATCGCAGTAAACCATTAAAGACTCTCATTTTTTTTTCATCAAAGACAGCATGATGGGATGTCCTAAGTATAAAAACTTGTAGCGTGTCAAAAAAACTGTTAAATCGTATATAAGTAAAGTTTTTTTTACAAACACTTTTTAATTGAGATCGAGGACCATAAAGAGTCAACTATCAGTGAATAGATTGTAATTCTCTCAAATTTCTATGATAATAAAGTTTTCTATATATCATTCGATGTACGCTACAAGACAGAATATGTGGCTTCTCCATAGGTCACCTTATCTGACAAGATATTTTGTTGATCGTGTGTTTCGATAGTTTTAATGTTCGATCGTAAATTATTTACTCTGTTCAAAATAGGAAATTGTTAACTAAAAGAAGCAACAAATGATGCTCACAAATAGAAATCGCTTTTCGAACAGACGTGTCTCTGAATTCCGAGAAGCTAATGATTTTCCAAAACACGATTATCAAAATCTACCTGTTTCGACACTCGAAAACGCCACTGAAATGCTGAATTCAATCGTATCTGAACTTAAAAATTATGTTGCTGAAGCCAAAAAAAATTGCACTAAGTCGAATGAGTTGACATTAGACGAGTCAGCAGCAATCTATCTTTACACAATGCAAACACCTTTGTTTTCCAAGCTTAGTGAGGCTCTCCGAGCTGAGAACTCGATTGTCTTAAAACCATGGTTGGCTTACTTGAAATTGTTAACTATGGCTCTGGAAAAATTACCATCACATAAAATAGAAGTTTGGCGAGGTTTTAATGACAATGTTGGTTCCATATTCACGAAAGAAAACAAGGAAATCTGGTGGAGTATCAATTCGTGTTCGAAAAAACTTGATGTTGTTAGAAGAGACATCGGTGAAACTGGCACTGTATTGGCTATAACTACGTTTCATGGCAAAGATATATCTGCATATTCGGCAATGAAAGAAGAAGAAGAGGCCGTACTCATGCCTGGAACTTTCTTGCATGTTCGCAGTGAATCGACAGATTTCATAGATCATCTCTCCATTATTTATTTGGATGAGGAATGTGAACAAAGGTAAGACAGTGTATTCTCTTATCCATATGAAAGATATCTTGGAATCTACAAGATTGTATGAAAAAAAAGTTTTAAAATCTTGCAGATTTCGTGCAAAAACAACCATTAGAATGTTTTCCTAACAAAAAAAGCTTTATTATATCATTGTTGTATAGCTATAGACGAAACGGTTTGCATAGCGTTTCTACTATTACATTGAGACAAGGATGAGGTTCAAAGTACAAAATCTTATTGTATACGAAGCTTTATAGAAGGAAATTGATTTCGTTACAAAACTTGGAACCTTTTAAAGTTTTGTACAGTACTTTTTTTTTATTTTCACAGTGTATCAGTATCAGATGTAAGAAGTACTGAACGAAGAAAAGTTGCTCTTGTAATTGGCAATAATGAGTATCCAAAGAATCGATTGTCGAAATGTGTTAACGATGCTGTAGATTTAAGCAAGAAACTGAAAAAGATTGGATTCATCGTGACAACAGCAATAAATCTTAATTATGCATCAATGGATAGAAGAATAAGAAATTTCGTCATGTCTATTAAGCCAGATGATATTGTCTTGTTTTTCTTCGCTGGTTATGGCTTACAATTTGACGATAAAACTTTTTTGATTGCATGCGATGAAGATCAAATTAGAACAGTCGGATGGGAACCAATAGCCATAAATACACAGGAACTTCTTGAACTGATGTCTGCCAAACATCCATTCGTTATTGTCCTTCTTCTCGATTGTTGCTATCAATACTTATTACTAAATCAAGCTATAGCCGAATCTTTAATATCTTCATCGAGAAGTTCGTCACAAATGAACTCACGGGCTGCTTACATGATCGCTTCTGTCTCTACACCTGATACAGTGGTAAAAGATGAAACGATATATGAACGTAATGGAATTTTCACTTATCATCTACTAAAAAACATTACGAGACCTGGTAAAAACATTCGTCAGATAATGATCGATGTTACAAATGGAGTAGCAAGGAAAACAAACAAAACACAGATACCATGTGTTATAAATGCTCTACAAGGACAAAACGTATACTTAGTACCACCTGAATGGCAGGAATCCTGTTCAAATGCTTTGTTGTGTAGTACGGCAGAGTTTTTTGACTGTTCGACAGTTAATAGTCAGTATTCATGTGATTGTTTTGCAATGATCATTAGTCTTATGAACCTCTTTTAGGCTCGAAGTCAGTAGTGACCGAAACGAATAACAGAACTTTTACTTGGATTTATTTTGATTTAGTTCCATTCGATTAAAGACAACTGATCGTTGAGCTAATGGAATTTCGTGAATAGAGTATATCTTATAAGATTTAATGAACAAAATTTGATCTATATGAGTATTAGTCATAACTCCTTCATACTGAAAGCATCAACTATTGTTTGAATTAAAACTGCTATTCACCTTCGATTTTTCTTCGAAATTTATCACCTAAAGTCATTTTTATAAGATTTAGCGTTAATTCTTCTGTTTACAATAATTAGATAAGCTGCTTTAAAACTTCTGAATTTGTATTTTTTTTTATTGAAGTCTATATCTTTGTTTCATTGAAACCAATAATATAATTCAAATAAATTCATGAAATAAATTAAAGTAATTTTTTTGAATGTCTGAAAGAATATAGTTCAACGCCATCTCTTGTTTTCTTATTATTGACTTTTGATTCAGAAGTATGCATCTAAGAAAGATATCACAATTCAATTGGTTTTCGATCTGTAGAAGTTACCAAGAGTAAACTATAATGCAGTTGCACATTATGTGTTAGAGATGACTTTCTAACAAATTACGAAGTATACATTAGAAGTGTAGTAAGACACACACAATGGCTAGAATTTCGCTTGAGTGTGCGCTACTTCGTTTTTTAGAAATCTAATAGCTATGTCTTTTTTTCTGACGAATTTGCCAATTATCACCTTGTGCTTGACATGTTATAGATCTTCCAGCAATAAAATCTGGCGTCGAATTCGGTGGATCAGGTGGTAATGCATTTAACGATTCATTAATCGATGGCTTTGCACAATCGTATTATCTTCGTGGTATGATTACTGGCAGTAAGATGAACCCTTTAGAATGGTGTCAATTTCTTTATTCATCACCTGGCACTTCTGAAAATACTCTGGAATCAGAAGTCCATGGAACACGTCAATCAGTCAATGATATAGATAGACTTTTTCTCAGCGAAAACCAAAGAATTAGTAAAGTTCAAGTTTTGGTCGCTGATGAAATGATCTACGTGAATGGTATTCTACAATTGGTTTCATTAATAAGAGGTATACGACTCTTCACAACTGATGGACAAGCTAGTCAATCAATTGATCATCTTCGAGGCGAATTATGCATGGAAAAATTCGATGGATACACAGTAAAACATGTCACGGGTAGATCAGGATTGTACATAGATCAATTACAAATTCATTGGTATCGCGATGGAATAAACTAATTTTAATTTTGCGAACTTCTTTTTATTTCTCATGACAAATAAAAGTAAGTTTTAGTCAAGATGAAAACGAATAGAACTGAAATAAATATTACAATAAAAGATTCATCAAAACATGACTTGAAATGAATTATCTATTCTTTCATGAAGTTAGATTCAAAAGAATATCAACTCGACAATCTAATTCAAGAGTCTATGACTGTTGTGTGTAAGACAATCATGAAAACAGATGATCATGTATATTTCAGTAAGTAAGAAGAGGAAGACGATATCCATTTACAGTTATTCAGAATTCACCATTGTACAGATAGCATTCAAAGTACGAGAACATCATATCAATTTTATTTTCTAAAATCAAAAATTGCAAATCAGTTCTTACTGAGAATGGTTTCGATTACATTGAAGAACATACTCATGAAATAATGTGTACTAGCGATGTGTACGATACGACCAAAAGAAAGATGTGAATTCGAAAGGAAACTATACAAGATCTATATCCATACCTACACCCAAATATAATTCGGAAACCGTCAAAGAATCTTCCAGCTATTATAATGATTGTGACGATATGTATGAGTATATAGATATGGGTGTAGATGTAAATTGAGAGAATATCAACATCCACACCCACACTACCCTCTTGGTACGTATTATAAGCCAATTAATTTCACCATATTCGTCTGTGATTCTATTTTGTGTACAACTATTTATATGAAATTGTTCTTTTACGACCAAATATGTTTGATTCTTAAACATTTCATATCGATAGTTAGTTCTTACGTATCCAATAATTTTCGACATTATTTCATGTAACCCTTTTTTTAAAAAAACTAAAAATTAGCAAATGAAAGATATTTAAAAATAACTTTCTTTCACATTGTATTAAGTTTTTTGTAGAATTTCTAACGTAAATATTGATGTAATCAAAGAGAAAACTTTTATAGACAGATGAATAATCTCTTGTTTACAGAAAAGTCTCATATATTTATCAATCAATAAAACTTGAGAAAATTTTCAAGAGTAGAACATCAAAACTCATCAAAGTTTTTTCTTTCTTCAACCTTTCAACGGTGAATAATTTGTTTAAAATTGAATTCGGTGAAACTTTCATGATAGAGTGCAGGCATACACTATGTTCATGCATAAACTGAAATATATTATCAGACAAACAATGGAAGAATGCGATAGAGTAAAAAAAAAGTTTGAAAAAATCGGTATCCATTGTGCAACCTAAGATAAGCTGATATTCTGTGGACGAAGAAGCTACATTTTGCTTACTTAACATTTTGAATAAAATCTACCATAAAGTCTTAAACTTATACAAACATTTGGCTAAGCGTGAATGTAGGTGAGAGCGTAAGAGATCATACAGTAGTGTGAAACTTGAATTCAATTGAGAAAACCGTTTTCAAGTTTCAAATTTAACGTCTATGAATTGTTGTAGAATTATTTTATTTCTGTACTTAAACATTGCAGATAACTCTGGATTGATATTTCTTTTTAAATCAAAATCCATTTTTCATCAGCTCTTTCATGATGAAAACTCATTTAAAATCTACTTAAGTAGACTACAATTCTTGAAATGATTTATTTGAACTAAAAGAAAAAAGTAATTTGATTCTAGAACATGAGTCTAATGTATATAGTTTTTTTTTGTGTAATAAGGTTTACCTTTTTATATAACATATAGAGTTCAGATTATTTGTAATCAAATAGTGTGGAGTGTGGATGGATTACCCATAAATTAGGAACAATACAACCGTACCCACATCCTGGTCCAAGCGAAATTGATGTGCAAATAAGAAATGTCTTAACTTTCGTCTGTTATGTTAAAAACATAGTTAATCAATAGATGCTTGTTAGTCTGTTGAATGCTTTTTCTTCTCATTGGTATGGATAACTGCTGAAGTTAGAGAGTGGTAAAAATGTACTTTATTTAAAATATATATCTTTAAATCTTAAATCAAATACAAGTTAGAGATGGATAAGCCATTAGGGTAAACCTTATAGAATTCAGATGTGAAATACGATGTGTCTAGCAAAACCAATCAAATCCAAACTTTCAGTGTATCCTTCAAAATCATTTGTAGGCTGCAGAGTCTGCCAACGATGCTTTATACTGTTTGTGTCTATCGGTCTACGTACACTTTCACATCATATTTCACAAAATAGAGGAGAAACGTGAAGGAGGGGAAATGTAAAATATTAAGTTCTCAAAAGACTGTTCACAGTTGTTCGATTGGTATCAAATAAATCAATATCATTCTAAATCCATGGCTTGAAATTTGTACATATCCAATGATTTTTTATGACGTTGCATGAAACTTTGTACCTTTCGATTACAAGCTTGATGATTGTTAAGAGAATTGATATTAGAACAGAGTAATTCTAACGTCGGTATAATCTCTTCTGCGATGAGGTTGTAATAATCTTGTAAAATTTGCTTGTGAGTTTTGAGTTCCGATTCCATAACATGTTGATCGTTCTGTAATTTCATAATCTCTTCTCGATATAATACGACTCTTAACATTGATGAAGATTCAGTATTCCGTTGAGGATTAGAATCCGAGATAGTTTTGAAATTCGATATGGAATTAGAATCGGTTTCTTCAGATTCTGAATCTGAGTCATCTTTCGAGTTCCATCGAGATCCATTGTTCTTTAGTAAATTATTTGTAACTAATGATATCTTTTCTGCGATTGGCTCGCTCCATACTTTTGAGCAATTACCATTGATGCAATCTGTCAAAAAAAAAACTCAATTTGGCATATGTATTTTTTTTTAAGTATCAAATATTTACTCGATCGGGTGCAAGTATAACGAATATTGATTTGTTTTAGTCGGTGAAGACATGGATCTTCTTTAAAATGTTCGTTCGATACATGAAATGTACATTCTTTTGAATTTATTGTTGAATTGCAAAGTTCAGTCACAATATCTCTTACATTTGTACTGCAATTAGATTGGTAATTACTGCTGTAGACAGCATCGTCTATTGTTAATACACCGCTATCTTCCGGACATTTCAATTGAATAGTGTTGTTCTCATTAACAACCACACTATGCTGTATAAATGTTGAATCTAAAAGTTTCAATATATATTTCATTCAATATATAGTTGAAATAACAAGGTATTAGTACATATACAATGCATTCAGTATCTAGGTTGGTTAACAAACTTTCTCAAAACAGTACGCAGATAATTGTTCTTTGAAATGACTATCTTCTAACATATGCAAGTTCACTAATAAACAACTCACCTGTTGTTAATGTGATAACATCACAGAGAATTGAATTCCAATAAGATATAACGTTCACAGATGAAAGTTGAATTCCTTTGTTACTATCTGCTTCCCAAGTACCGTTCGAAATATGTTCCGAAGTGTATACATGATGAAATTTTCCACTTATCGTTCCGTCTGATTGTTTAAAGGTAAAATGTGTATCAGCATAAAAGGCTTTGTCTGATCGATATGTGTTGCCATTTGAAATGCACTGGAGGGTAATAGCAACGACATCATTATATGTTCGTGATAATTTGAAATAGGCATCTTTAGTGAATAGTCCAGGATATGATCCATAATAAGAATGATTCTTTGATGGTATCCAACATTCTGTATAAAAAAACGAATATAATTCGATATATAGGTTTGATCGTCTAGGAATTATCAAACAAGTGCGAAATATAAAATAGAGTACTCACCTATGGTTTGTAAATTATATATTAGTACAGTTACAAACACAAGACAATTAAGTGAAAGCATTTGTATGTGCATATATATCAAACAGATTCAATATTGTTTAATTCTATGAATAGCTGATTCCTTTTTATATCCGTACTTGACAGCATGACACATGCATAGAGATAAGAAATAGACAAATTATATCAGGGAAGATTCTCATGTGCAGAACAGAGCTTCGCATAGGATGGGACAATCCCATCCCATCTCATCAGTCCCATGGGATACAAATTGTTAATTAATATTTCAGTAGAATGGGATGGGACGAAAATTTTTTGAGAGCTGTCCCATTCCATCGTCCCATGGAACGAAGAAATACGATGTGAATCTATTCTTTTTCTAAAAAGAGTGTAGTCGTTTCAATATCGATGTCATACTAAACTATGTCACAAGTATAGTTAAAAATTGAGGCTCAATAAGTGAAATGGTCAGAAAAATGCATTCATTTAGATTCAATATGCAACAAAAAACATAAATAAATAATGAACTAACAATCACTGTGAAGTTAGCCCGACGACCAAAAGAAGGCACTCTATTCGTTCACCAATCATAATGAACGCGTAAAATACCACTAATTTTCCCAAGCAACAAGCAATATAGAAAAAAAAATATGATCAAAGAAAAAGATAATATTATTAATGATATCACCAAAAACACCATCAGCATATCTGTGCTAACTTTCAAATCATATGAAGACGTACAGCATGTGCAGATGTTCACAAATATGTTTTAAAATTATTTCTAAAATCCGGTTCTATACTACAAAAAGTTAACATAACACTAGTAGTAAAACCAGCAACAAAACCATCAGGGAAAATTTGTGCTAACTTTTAAATGATATCACAATGTATTAGATGCGTACCCAGGAATATTCTAAGAGGGTGCCCGACTAACTATGGAAGGTACACACCAGCAGCGAAACTAACTTTTCTTTCTCGAAAAAATTTTGTATGTGAATCCTATAAGTGTTTTCTGGTAATGGGAGGTGCCCAGACACCCTTGGCACTCGTCTTGGGTACACTCCTACAATGAACATCAGACAGAGATGTTCAAGAATATGCGTGGAATGAGGGTGTGGGTAACCGTAGACTGGGATAACCACAGCTACACCTACCCACACCCACATCCAGCTTTAAGACAGTTGTATTTTAAGGTCAAAATAAATGAGAATATTAAGTGTCTTCACAAACAATAGGCTCGATGACTACAATCCAACAAGATAACAAAATAATCAAATGATATTTTATTTCATATCATGCAATAAACAGCTGATAATAATTAGTAAACTTACTGCTCTCGGTTGTTTATCTCTTACTAATGATTACTGTCTTTTTTTTTAAAAACTAAATAAAGCAATCAATCATATTCTTTCAACGTTCTTTAGGTTTTTTTTCATGCATGTCCAGATTTATGAGGACACTCTGCAGTACTTTTATACTTTGATATACTTTTCTACTTGAAGTCTGCTGCTTTCTTCTAATCTCTGTAATAGATAGTCCGTCAGAATGTATTTTGAACTTTCGATAAATTGTAGAAGCGAGAGTTAGAAAAAAATCTGCTTATCGATATTGATGATTTCTAATATATGTTTTCAATTTTGATTTCATTTACATTTACTTAAACATCGAATAAACATACAACAACAGTATAAAAATTCTAGAATAATTACAGAACATTGTAGACATTCTAAACCGAAGCAACAACAACTGTCCAGATAATTTCTTTCAACAAAATTTGAAGCTTTTTTCTTATCATTTTGATACAATGTTACTTCAATAGAATGATCAGATGTGAGTCCAAATGAGTTAGTGGATGAATCGGTCGGTTGCACCGTTGAATAATATTGTGATGATAGAAGAGGTGTATTTAATTTATCTAAACTCATATTCGATTGTTGACATGAAGTTTGCATTTCTATCAAAAATACCATTCGGGAAAGAATCTATGACAACGTGCACCTTGTAAGTTTTCATTGATTCATGATATGTATATACTCTTAGCTTTTTTCTTGTACAAGATATGTTCCTTTTGATCGCAGAAGATTGATGTCAAATGGATATTAAATTTGTACCTTCACGGTTAAGTAACATTTGATGTTAATTGAATTTTAAATATCCTTCAAAACTCTATTGTAGTGATTTATATAAGAAGACTGAACAATTATTATAACGGAATCGACGCAACTGAAATCATCCATTTGAGAGTATATTTCAATAAATTGAAAGTTTCTTTACAACATCTTGTTGTTGAAAGTTATCGGCGGTAGAAATATCAGTCATATCTGAGTTAATATCTTCCATATAGAGAGAAATTAATGTGAACTGTTTGATGGAATTTTCAAAGATACATAAAGTATTTATAACGTTTGTTACGAATGTAAAAATAGAAAGTCCTATATCTCTGATCGATAATTCAGAAGTAACCGATATTCCTATGATAACGAATCATATATAAAATGAGCTTACGAAAGAACATTCCCAAATGTCAAATCGCTTTTGAGTCGAGGGTATGAGCATAAGATAGATCCCAGTGAGATATGAAAAACCCCAAAATGATAAGTACCCTTAGGCTTTCTGTCCAGAGTTATAGGCACTTTACTGAAATTTTAGCCTCTTCCATAGTAAATACCACCAAATCGAATGTCGATATTTCGACCTGAGATTTTGCCCACAGACAGATCTAGTTATGAATAGGATAACCTGAATATTTCAGCTCAAAAGAATGTTTCCTTCCCGAGATATTAAAGTCCCAAAAATCACTCATATAGCACGGAAGATGCTAGAATTTTCTGTTTTTTGGGGGCTTTAATATCTCGAGAAGGAAACATTCTTTTGAGCTGAAATTTTCAGAGTATCCTATTCACAACTAGATCTGCCTGTGGACAAAATCTCAGATGGGAATACCGACATTCGATTCGGTTGGTATTTAGTATGCCAGAGGCTAAAATTTCAGTAAAATGCCTATAACTCTGGACAGAAGGCCTAATGGCACTTATCCTTTTGGAATTTTTCATATCTCACCGAGATCTACCTTATGTTCATACTCTCGACTCAAAAGCGATTTTACACTTGGGAATATTCCCCCGTTAGATGAAAAATTCCATATTATGAAAGCACTCCTTTATTAGATGACTAAGTTTTCTTATGAGAAAAAAGTCTGCAATATTGCATTCTTATCTTGCTATCAGCACATATATTCAATAATGATAAATAATTTTCCTACCATAATAGAAGAAAGATTCATAATCGTCGTGAAGATATTTCATTAAAAAAATGTATGTTACACTAACGTCCTCTTTTATGACATGTTGAAATAAAATCTGTCATAGTCAGTCACTAAGCAATGACGCTGCGTCACACAATATATTTTGCACGCCATCCGATGTTCGTTCTGTGCATGCGGATGACTAATCAAACTATCGTTCTATTCTGTTCCATGTCTAGCCTAAGTTTCGTTATTCCTTGTTGCTTGGTGTCACGTGCAAATACTTATGATGAAAATATGACGCATAAAGAGAGAAGAAAAAGAGAGAGGGAGGGAAATGTATAAATACCTTTGGCATTTCTTTTAGCTCACATTAGTATATCTCTTCTCTTGGACTACGTCTTCACTGATTGAATATACGGGCAACTAATCAGCTTCCATCTTGTTCGATTGTAAACGAGATATTTTGAAGCTTTTTCAATAAACAGTGTATTGTTGTATCTTGTGCCTTTATAAAGAACCAATCTGCGAAAGTCCTATTTTACGCAACTGTTGTTCTAGCCACTGATCTCACTGAACAAGCGATCAAG